CAAACAAAAGGAATCCAAAGAGGACCACACCAAGACACATCATAATTAAAATGCCAAGAGCAAAAGACAAAGAGAGAATCTTAAAAGCAGCAAGAGAAAGACAGTCAGTTACCTACAAGGGAGTACCCATACGACTGTCAGCTGATTTCTCAACAGAAACCATGCAGGCCAGAAGAGAGTGGCAAGAAATATTCAAAGTGATGAATGCCAAGAACCTACAACCAAGATTACTTTATCCAGCAAAGCTATCATTCAGAATAGAAGGTCAGATAAAGAGCTTCACGGATAAGAAAAAGCTAAAGGAGTTCATCACCACCAAACCAGCATTATATGAAATGCTGAAAGGTATTCTTTAAGAAGAGGAAGAAGAAAAAGGAACTCTTACCATTTACCACAGCATGGATGGAACTGGAGAGCGGATAAATACCACAGGATCTCACTCATTTGTGGAATATAATGAACAACATAAACTGATGAACAAGGACTGATCCAGAGACGGAGAGGCATTGATTGGACTGTCGGGCCTTGGAGGGAAGGTAGGGGAGGGTGGGGTTAAGGGGGAAAGATCAACCAAAGGACTTATATGCAAGCACATAGGCCTAATCAATGGACATGGACAACGGGGGGGTGAGGGCATGAGCAGGGAGGGTGGGGGGGTAGAGGGTAACGTGGGGACAAGGACACATATGTAATATCTTAATCAATAAAAAATATATTAAAAAAATTAAAAAAAAATTAAAAAAAGAAAAAAATCCGCATCGTTAACTGGTACACCTAGTACAGCCCTTTTGCCTATGAACTGTCCTTTTTTCCCAGGTCAGGGGTCTGTAAAACAGACCTGAGATCTGAGATGTGCTGTGTTGAGTTGAGTCATATTGAACTGTGTTGTGTCGTATTGCAATAGATTGTGTTGTGCTGAAAGTGTTTGTCTCCATGATACTGTGAACCTTCTAGAACAAGAACTGAATCTGATTTAACCATTTAAATCCAGCTCTCACTCCAAGTACTGGCACACTGAGGGTGTGTAAATAAATGTGGATTGTGTGAGTGATGAATTAGCCAAATGGGCTCTAGGCAGGGAACTCTGGTGTCCATGGACTTTAGATAATCATTTTGTGATTGTATTCTGAAGGGGGCTGGCAAGGTAAGCACACTCCCAAATGCACCTGAGAAGGTGGAGCCCAGTTCACCCTCGCCGGAGCTTAAAGGTAAGGGCAGGACAGACCTGATGCAGACCTTGGGTCCCCAGGTCAGGAGCAGATGTTAACTGGAGTCAGGATGAAGAGCCTGAGGGACACCTCATCTGAGAGAGCAAGAAATAGCCCAGGTGCCCCCATAGACTATCTCTATAAGTAGCCGGAGAAGGGAGGTGATCTGGGACACAAAGATACTAGAGCCAGGTACCCTCTGCTCCTTGCCTTGGAGCGTCTTCTCCCTTCAGGACCAGGGCTCCATCTGACACCCTGCTTGGCTCATGGGAACTCTTCCCCAGGTCCAGACTTGCCCTGATTCCTATGTTAGACTGGGGTCCTGCTGTGGACCTCCTGTCTCTAGACACAGACCCAGCTGCATCTGCTGACCTTGAGCCTGCTCAAGTCCAAAGCTTAGGAGTTCCTGTCTGCTTCAGCCTCTCTTTGACATGGAAACACCCAGCTGCCCTGAGTAGGGCCAGCTCTATAGCCCATTTGCCCCAAACCCGCCTTTGTTCTTATGCCAAGAGGTGCTTATACCTGCTTAGCGACCTGCCCTAGATTAGGCTTGGCTTTCCTACCTAGACTGAGTCTTGCCCTCTTATTGGACACTCTGCCTGGCCTCTCCTCCTCCAGTCCATCCCTCCAAACCAGCTTCTATACATCATTCTAAGATGCAGATCTGTGTCCCTTCCCTGCTCACAATCCTCCAAAAGCTCCCCATTGCCTACAGTAGAACATTCTAGTTCCTTAGCCCAGCATTCAAGGTCCTTCATGGACTGTCCTTCGGACCTCTCCAGCCTCCACTCCTGCTGTCCTTTGAACATTCTCTGTGCTCCGGCCATGGCAAACCATCTTTTTACTCTTCCTTTACTCTTGCTGTCCTCACTGCATGGCATGCTTTCCTCAAGTTCCGACTCCTTCATCAAGAATCAGCTTTCCCTTTGTTCCTCCCTGGGTTTATAACACCCTATGTACAACACCATGGTGGCAATAATCATACTGTATTAGAGTTGTCTCATTGCATTCGTTTCCCACCCAAGTGGGAGTTCCATGTGAGGCCATATTCTGCTTCTAGCTTCATTCTCAGTGTCTGGCACAAAGTACCTATGTGCTGAATGAATGAAGAAATGAATGAATAGCAATGAGTGTCTGTGACAATGACATCCACAATACCCACACTGGGGATGGTGGGTGATGTTGGAGCAGGCAAGGGGTCACGATGAAACAAAAGCAGAGAACACCAGGAGATGGCTCCAAGAGGGAGGCCAGGAAGTTGCTGCAGCAGGTTACAACCCCATCTCTCTGGGTGGCTCCATCCTGTACCAGAGCTGTGTGCTCTGAAAATCCTTGGAATCCCTGTTATTTCCTCATGTTTATTATTTCTGCTACCCCTGTAAGGAAATGCTCCTTGACCGTCCCCTTGGGAAGAGTTGCTCAGGCCTTACCCAAGCCTGTTGCACTCTTTGGGGGTGGGGTGGAGAAGTAGCTGCACAGTTCCTGCCTACCCTGGGCACTAGGACCCTCTTGGCCTGGAGGCTGGACCAGTGGGCCCTGCTACCACCACTGTCTAAAGCCCCTGGTGAGTTCCCTGTCCTAGCTTTCTTTTATTTAGCCGTATTCCTGATGACAAAGCACTCCATGCTCAGCCAACTGAGAGAGCCAGAACTGACAAAAAGCTTTGCAAAGGGTGTAGAGTATCTGCTTTATTCATCATTGTACTCCAGGAACTAACCCCATGACAGACACATGGTGTGAAAGCTCAAAAACTGTTTGTTGCATGAATAAAAAGATGGATGGATGAATGAAAGGATGGATGAAAGGATGGATGGATGGATGGATGGATGGATGGATGGATGGATGGATGGATAACAGGAAGGTTCTCCGTCTCCGGGAGCCAACCCTGGTGGCAAATGTGGCCATCAGAGTGTGGGATGCGCTTGGAGAGTGTTGGGAGGCTGGAGTTCAGAAACAGAGGGCTCTGCACCCCATCTCCACCTTCTCAAGCTCTCTCTCAATTCTTGGAGATCTGGGGTTGGTATTCCAACGGGGCCTTTCTCTGCTTAGAGGCACCTTCTCCCCATGGCAGGGGTTCCCAGACCTGGGTGGGCATCAGAATTTCTTGGGGAGATTTAAACACTATAGATTCCTGGGTCCTTCCTGAGACCTACTACTCAGAATATTGTTGGGTGGAGCCACAGAATCAGGTGATTCTGCCATGTAGACAGGCATAGAAACTCCCACCTACTGGAGCCAGTTTAAACCCCCGGGCAACACACTCTGAGCCCTTTGCCATCTGGACCCAGTGCCCCTGTGCGGCCTCATGCCTGGCCCCTCACCCCAAACATAAGCCTCAGGAAACCGCTCCATGGTCCCCAGACACGCTCAGGCTGTCTCACTCAAGTTCATCTCTCTACCTTCTGCCTTCTCTACCTGGGGGACTTCTACACATCCTTCCAGGCCCAGAAAAGCCACCTCCTGAAGGAGCTTCCACACCCTTCCTCCTCCCAACCAACTGCTCCTCCCACCACCTTATTCAGAGCACCTGTCACTCTGCCCAGTCATTATCTGATGATGCCTGCACCAGTGGCCTGTGGAAGCCTCCCAAGAATCCTCTGAGGTGGACGAAGAAGATGATGGAAGCAAAGACTGACTAGGTGAAAAGCCCGCAGGAAACCTTTACATGTGCAGCTGGGCCCTTAAATCCTCACAACAGCTGGTGCAATGGGGACTGTTCCTACTGGGCCCATCTGACACATGAGAAAACAGGCCGAGAGAGGACTTACCCCAGTCACACTGGAAGTGGTAGAACCAGGACTTATCAACCATGGCTCCAGATACCGTGGTTGTACCCCCTGTGCTTCGAGCCTTTTACAGATGAGGACGCTGATGTGCAGGGAGCTATCTGTGCAATCTCACCATTCTCATAATTAGCACTGTCATAATTTGTAGCTAGGAGCCTCTGTTCCCCAGCTCCACACTCCACGTGGCCCCTATTTCACCTCCAGCTAAGAAATCCCGAGGCCAAGCCCCATTCCAGGCTCCTTTCCTTTTCCCACAACCCCCCAGAGACCTGCCCTCCAGGCTTCCTGACCTGGCCTGCCCTCTGATCTCACTCCACACCCATTCTGCCCCACCAGTTCCCAGGAAGGAACGCCCCATTCCTTAGGCCACATCTCAGCTGGCAGGCAGAAGTCTGACACCTCTGGCAAGCTTTTCTCCTCTACTTCCTATGCTTGTTCCCGACTGAACAAGCTGCAGTGGTGGAGGGAGCAAGCCTTCTCCTCTGCCTGAGCCCGCTCCCCCATCTGCAAGGCAGAGAGTGGCTCTGCCCTGGCAGCTTTCAGGGCTGAGAGGAGGCTCTGATGATCACAGGGTTAAAAAGCTTGATAAAAGCTGATGGTCCAGCCCTGAGCACCTCACTCTAGGCCCTGGTCAGGAGGATGAGATCCCAAGTCATCCTGGAATGAAGCTCTGTCGCCCTGGCAGCTCACCTAACCTGCCTGTGCCCCAGCACCTCATCCAAAGAACAGGATCTCAACAGATGATGGGCCTTCCATACAGAATCATTGTGAGAACTGACTGCAGCAAGGCCCAGGTGCACATCAAGGGCACCTAGCACCCTCTATCTAAAGCGGAGCATTGAGTGAGGGGCCTCTGTGGAGAGAGCAGACTAAAGCAGAACTGTAGCTGTGATCGGGCACCTTCCTGGAGCACTCCAGTGGGAAGCCTGGCTCTCCAAGGTGAGTGCCCAGCCAGTCAGCCCCCGCACTGAGAACGATGCTAGTTAACCACCCAGCCGGGTAACGGGATGATTTGTACATTGGGCTGTCATTGCAGATGTTCTTTAACTCCTAAGAAGTTGTAGAGTTCTTTAAAAAAAAATTTTTTTTTATTGATTTCAGAGAGGAAGGGAGAGGGAGAGAAAGATAGAAACATCAATGATGAGAATTATTGATTGGCTGCCTCCTGCACATCCCATCCGCAACCCAGGCATGTGCCCTGACCAGGAGTCAAACCATGACTTCCTGGTTCACAACCACTGAGCTACGCTGGCCGGGCACAGAGCTCTTTAACATGTCCTTTTCTCACCCACCGTTTACAAAGCCCACAGAAGGCATCTACGTGGGCTTTGGTTCCAGACTGGCCTGAGCTCATTTCCAAGTCTGCGACTTATTTGCTATGTGGCCTTAAGCAAGTTCTTTCCCTTCTCCAGACCTCACTTTGCCTCACCAGTAAAGCAGGCAGGATACTCCCAGTCTTGGAGGGGTCCTATGAAGATTACAAGGGTCAGACATGAAAGAAGTACATAAGAATCCTAAAAGCTCTACTACCACTTATTCCAGATGAAGAAACAAGCTCAGCAAGGCTTCATTGCTTCCTCCACAGCTAGAAAGCAGCAGAGCTGGCTCTGAGTCAAGGACTCCCACTTCCACACAGGAAATTGTCCCTCATTCAGGAGTTTTTTAGGCCATAAAGAAAGGCTCTGGCTGCTCAAAGCCAAGGTCTGATCTTGGGGTCCCACTTTATACACCTTGCTTTAAAATCATCATCAGCCATAGCTGGCCAGGTCCAGACCTTAGCCCCAGTGGGTCATATGGGACAGGGCCAAGTCCAGATAGGTGCAGTGAGCATGGCAGGTGAGGTCCTGTGCCCTGTGCCCACTGGAAAGCTCTCAGACCCGGGACAGGACAGCAGGGAACTTGTCCCAGTCAATTGCACTGCAAGGACACAGTGACCTCACCCCCCAAGCCAGGAGCTCAGCTGTCAAGGCTGTTCTCCCTTTTTCCAGCCTAGTCAGTGGGCTGAGAGACACTGCCCCCACCCCTGCTGATTTGTTAGGCTGCTTCCGAGGAAAAAGCAAGAACTCTTCTGAAGCCATCTGGCTCTGGGCAACTTTCTTTTAACATTCTCTTTTTTGAAGACAATGATGAGATACTGTTTTTCACTTACCTAATTGACAAAGACTAAAAACAAAAACACTCCCAGTATTGGCCAGAGGATTGTGAAAAGGGCAGTCCCTTTCCAGCTGCTAGAAGTGCAATATGTACGATGGTTTTAAAGAATGATTTCTCTACGTCTAAAAAATGCCCCTGTCTTTTCATCCTGTTGTCCCTCTTCTTCAAGGATTTGTACCAATTTCTTGATACAAAATTGGAGTTGTTCCTAACTGCCCCCAAATGAAAGCCACCTAAATATTCATCAATAGGGGATTGGTTAAATCAATGATGGATCATTGGCCAGCCATTAAACTTCAGGCTGGGAAGAATATTTACTCACAGAGAAAATGCTCCTTATAGATTAAAGAGACAAAGCAAGCAATAGCCAGAAGGATGTGCATGGATTAAAGCGGGCTTGATCAGTGTTTCACAGGGATTGTCCTCTTGAAATGTTCCTCTTGGGCGCAGCCGCCATGCTGTACGGAAGTCCGGACTGAGCTGCTGGAGATGGAGGAGGATGCAACGCCATATGGAGAGAATGGCCCCAGCCAAGGATCCCCTGAATGCAACTGCGTGGATAACAACAGCTCTGCTCCATGGGGAGCAGAACAGCACACAATCATGAGAAATAATACACTTGTAGTTTAAAGCCACTAAATTTTGGAGTAGTTATTTTACGAGCAGTGGATGACTGAAACAACCCACTTGTTTTCATTTCCTAGATTTTTATTTTATTTAAAAAATTTTAAAAATACTTTATTGCTTTCTGAGGGGAGAGAGGGAGAGAGAGAGAGAAATCAATGATGAGAGACTCATTGATCAGCTGCCTCCTGCACACCCGCTACTGGGGATTGAGCTGGCAAACCCTGGCATGTGCCCTGACTGGGAATCAAACTGTGACCTCCTAGTTCATAGGTTGACGCTCAACCACTCAGCCCCGCCGGCTGGGCCATTTCCTAGATTTTTAGAACACACAAAGCGGTAACACAGAAGACCTGTGACTGAGCAGCCAGCCTTGTGCACTCCTGGAAGGCAGAATCTGGGTGACACCAATTATTGAGTCTTTGTCACTGGCCAGTCATTGTGTAGCTTCTACAAACCATCACATAAAAGATCCTTAATAAATATTCACTGAATAAGGGAATCCTTGTCCTAGTCAACACACACTGCAGCCCTGTGAGGTAAGAGTTGTTTTATTATAACTCAACTAATATTTCATTATAGAAAAAAATTTTAAATGTAGGCATTACAAAAGTTATCCCCAATCCTACTATCCATCATTTCAATGAACATTTATCTTACATATATGTATAGAAATTCAATTATATTACATATGCATATTGACTTTTTTTGTTTTTTATCCTCATGGGAGGATATTTTTTCCACTGATTTTTTTAGAGAGAGTGGAGGAGGGTGGAGGAGGGTAGAGAGAGATAAACATCAATGTGAGAGAGGCACATCAATTGGTGGCCTCCCATTCAAACCCCGACCAGAGCTGGGGAATTGAGCCTGCAACTGAAGTATGTGTCCTTGACTGGGAATCGAACCTGCAACCCTTCAGTCTGTGGGCCAATGTTTACCACCGAGCAACCCGGCCAGGGTGCATATTTACGTTTTAAAATGTGATAAAGGTACGGTTTTATAACCTGTTTTTTTCCATTCAAAACAATCTTGATTTTTTTTTAAAAAAAAAAATGTTTTTATTGATTTTTCAGAGAGAGGAAGGGAGAGGGAGAGATAGAAACATCAATGATGACAGAGATCAGTGCTCAACCACTGAGCCTCACCAATTGGGCTTGCCTTTCTTTTCATATCAGTGTGTGTATATTCTATTCAACATTTTTAATAGATACACATGTTTGCCTTTGTGACTCATACCCCTTCTTCCACCCCACCCTGTTCTCTTTGTCTGTGCTCTATGATGCCAGTTGGTCCGACCACAGCCAATCGGACCCAGGGCAAACCTCTAACCAAAGCGGAACCAATCTGCTTTTCTCATCTAGAAACAGAAGCAGGACCAGGAGACAGCTGAGTCAACCTTGAGGGTAGTTGAGATGGTCCCATGTAAGTTCTGGCATTGTGTGACGGTCATATCCTGCCAGGTAGAACAGAACATACCTATCTGTGAAAAGAGAGAGGAATAAAGCGTGGTGAGGGATGTTGACTATCCTGGTGGTAGTCTCCTCATGGGGCCCATTACCTTTGTCAGCTCCTGACTGCACCCCTGCCACTGGTTTGGGAGACACCTCTATATGCTTTAATAAATTCTCCTATACTGGCTGAAGTTGGCTTGAATATACTGATACCTGCTACTGAAAGATCCTAACATTATTATTCTAAGGAAAGAAGAAAAATGGAGCCCATCAGCCACAAGGGCAGGCCTCTGGGAACCAGTAAAAAGGAGAACCCAAGATAAAAGAATATTGCCCCAGTGCCTTCTACAAGCAGAGGCTCTACCATCCACTTTACAATCCCAGGTACATAGGCTGGAACACAAGCAGTCGAAGCCCTTCTTCTATGCCGGGGCCTCTATTTTCCAACCTCAGCAGCAAACATCTGTTGGACACCTGCCATATTCACAGCATCGTGCTCAGGGCACAGATGGGAATGGATGCATCAAGTTCCATGGCTTTGGGTAAGTCATTACCACTTTTCTAGGTCTCAGTCTTCTTACCTATAAATGGGTTGATACACATAATTCTAAATTCTTTCCAGCTCTCACACCTATCAACTCAAGTCAGGGTCCTGGACCCAGACCTCCAGGAAAAAGGTATATTTAACAAGCTCCAGAAGTAACATCAGACTTTCCCAACACCTTCCTATGCATTGTGCCCTGTGATTCAATCAATAGCTCCACCAGGCAAGATTTATTTGGCCTGAGGGCACACAGCTGTTGAATGGAAGAACTAGAACTTAAATCCAAGTCCAGACAACTAGATGGATCAAATAACTCTTGACCATTTAAAAACAAAAGTTGTGTGTTTTTTTTATTGATTTCAGAGAGGGAGAGAGAGAAAGAGAAAGAAACATCAATGATGAGAGAGAATCACTCATTGGCTGCTTCCTGCCCACCCCACACTGGGGATCAAGCCCACAACCTGGGCATGTGCCCTGACTGGGAATCAAATCATGACCTCCTGATTCATAGGTTGATGCTCGACGACTGAGCCATGCTGGCCAGACAACTCTTGACCTTTATTATCATAGTTTTTAAAATAAGGAAAGTTTATCAGGTAACTAGTAGTCAACTTCAAAGGATAGAAAGTAGAATGGTGGTTGCCAAGGGCTGGAGGTGGGGGTGGGGGAGGGAATGGGAAGTTACTCTTTATTGGGTATGAAATTTCTATTTGAGAAGATGAAAAAATTCTGGACGTGGATGGTTGGGATGGTTGCACAACAGTGTGAATGTGCTTAATGCCACTGAACTGTCTACTTAAAAATGGTTAAAATGTAAATTTTATGTTATGTATGTCCTGTCATAACTGTTTTTGAGGAAACTGGTCCAGCAGAATAAAGGGAGTAAGTATAGATGGGATTAGGAGAGTTCTGGGGACAGACTGAACTGAATCCTCACATCTACCATTTGCTTACTTGCTTGACCTGGGGCATGTTAGTCTGAAACTGTGCCTCAGTTTCCTCCTTTGTGAAATGGGATAAAACAGCATGTCTAGGATTTGTTATGAGAATGAAAGGAGATCATTATATACCGCTCACTTCACCCTGGACCTGGCACATTGTACACTGTCAGTACACATGACATTATGACCAGGCTTCTCAACCTAGTAAGAGAAGGTGACTTTGGGAGTCACCTACTGTAATACCTTTATTACAAAACTGAAGAGACAGACCTAGAAAGTGACTTGCCTGAAGTCACCCAGAAAACTGTAACAGAGCCAGAGTGGAACTGAACCACCCCCTTCTGAGTCCAGAGATCTCTGCCTCCAGCCAGCCCACAGTGCTTTCCCTTTCTTAAGAGCTAAACTGAATTTGGGTGTTAATTTTAAGCCTCAGTGAGGAAGGGAGGACTCCACGGGCTCACAACCGGTTCTCTGTCCATCTTCTAAAGTGAGTCAGCTCTGGTATAACTGGGTGAATCAGCCAGCAACTCCGTGATGTGATGAACGTGCCTGACTGCCAGGTGGGGGCAGGCATGGCTGGATGCCAGCAAGGTTTCCTGTTCCCCTTGAGGGGGTTTGGGGTATGGGGGAGGGAAAGGGTGAGGTCCAGGTTTCATAGCTTTAATTTGCTACCAATTTCCTTCTTTGGTAAAGCAAGTATGCCTTATTCTCCTTAACTGCCCAGTGGATGTATACATAAAATTTGGTCTTGCCCTCAGCACAAGGGGTGAAGAGGAAGGAACCAAGGAATGACATGTGGGAAGGTTTTGCACAAAGTTGCATCCGCATAAAGGGAATTAGTATTTCACTTCTCAGGAGAAATAAGGTTCTAAGAACGAAATGGAGCCCAGCCAGGCTGTTTGTTTTTCCCATCAGTACTGGGACTTGTCGGGGTCTCTGAGGCCCTCTGTCTCCATGTTCTCCCACACCTCAGAGTGCCAGGTCAATTCTTCAGATGTAAATGTTATAAAGGACCTACTGTGTGGTAGGCCCAGGAACATGCCATTGGACCCTCCACAGAGCCCCATAATTATGATCAAGCTTTTTCTGAGCCCCATCCTACAGAGAGAAAATTGAGGCTCGCAGAGAGGAAGCAACTCATTAACGGTGGCACCACTGGCAGTGAGGAGCTGGGCCAGACTTCCGGACTATTCCAGCACTTGCTCTCTTGACCAGTTTGAGGAAGAAAGCTCCTGTGGGCTGCATCAGGTCCCCTCCATCCTCCTCCAGAGACCCCCCAGAAAACAATACCTGGACATAGAAAGAGACAATCCCTGCCACCCTGATGTAAATAGGCGTTGAAAATGTTAAACACTAGAAACAACAGTTACCATTTTTCAACAATCTTTGATATGCCTGTCACTCAACAGTCATTTTCTCCTTTATATTCTCAATAATGCTTTGAGGGAGATACTGACATTATTCCCATTTTATAGGCGGGGGAATTGAGACTCAGAAAGGCTAAGTAATATGCCCAAAGACACACAGCTAGCAGATCTGTCTTCAAAACTGTGCTCTAACCCCCACATATCACTGTTGGCCTTATTCATTCATTCTTTGCTTCATTCATTTAAACATTTATAGCCTTTCCCTTGTGCTAAGCAAGTAGCTAGAAGAAGGAAGTCAGAAATGCCTGAGTCCCTGCCCCAAGGAAGTCATTATCTAGAGAAAGATACAGCTCAAATAATTGTAATCTAAGTGATAAGGCCAGACCCAGGTACACTGCTGGTCAGAAGTTTTTGTTTATTTTTTTAATCGAGGTGCTAGAACTCAAACCTACTACCTGTGTGATCCTTGGCAAATTACTTCACTTCCCTGAATCTCAGTGTTTCATTTTAGAAAAAGGAGAGCAAAATACTCATGGAGTTTTTGTGGGGATTAAATTAACTGAAATAATATTGTATTCATTCATTCATTCAACAAATAAGTACTGAGCCCTGGCCAATGTGGCCTAATTGGTAGAGCATCGATCGTCCAATGCACCAAAGGGTCACTGGTTCGATTCCCAGTCAGGGCACATGCCCAGGTTGTGGGTTTGGTCCCAGTCAGGGTGTGTGCAGGAGGCAACTGATTGATGCTTCTTTCTCACATTGGTGTTTCTCTCTCTCTCTCTCCCTTCCTCTCTCTAAAATCAATAAAAACATATTTAAAAAAAACAACAACAAGTAAGTACGGAGTCTCAGTGTATGCCAGATTGTTTTTTGGTGCTGGGGATGCTAGCTAGAAGAAGCAGACAGCAGACAATCCCTTGAAACCAGAGAGGGATATTTTAAGTAAAAAAAAATAATAAATAATAAATTTTTAAATTGAAGCATAATATACATACAGAAAAGTGCAAAAATTGGAAGTGTACAGCTCGCTGAATTTTGACAAACCGAACACACCCGTGTGAGCAGCACCCTGATTACAAAACATTACCAGTCAGGTCAGAATTAGGGTGTGGCAAGTGAGGCACTCATATCCCCAGTAAGATTTAAGGGGGTGCCAAAAGCTCAGTCATAAAGATAAATAATGTATTTTACACAATATTTTCTAAAAACCAAAATTAAAGAAAAAAAACCCATGATGACAAAATACCAAAATTTTAAATAATGACAAGATTAGTAACAGTGCCTGTTGAGTTATATTAAAGCTCAGGGCAAAGGAAAAAAAATCAATAATTTGGTGAATTAGAGGAGCCATCTCTGGAGTGGGGACCCGAAGGGGCAGGGGAAGATGATGCATTTAGATTTAAACATGGGCAGTGCCAGGTCCCTGTGCACGTGAAGAGGCTGTCCTGGAGATAGCTGGAAGAGACAAGCCTGGTGCTCAGGAGAGAGTAGAGGAGGGATGTGTTCCTCCCGTGGCCCCCAGCGTCAGGGAGTGCGTGGTGGCCCAGAAGGATCTTGCAGAGGAGGACGCAAAAGGATAAAGAAGGAAAGCAGGAAAATTCTCTAGGAGCAGGTGGTTTGAACAGGTGTGCAAATGAGAGCGAAAATATTAAACACAAAAACTGTCCTGCTTGGCCCATCAGGCCTTCGAGGAAGTCCAACCCCGTGTTTACCTGCAGCCTGGGAGGATTTGAGTTGCAAAATATCCTGCGGTCTGGGACTCCTGCATCCCAGCCCCGGCCAGCCCCCCTCGCATCAGCTGCGGTTGACTCAGCAGCCCTTTTCTCCAGACTGCCAGGACGTTTGCCTTTAAAGGCAAAAATAAAATAATATAAAATTTAAAAGCCTTCTCCCGGGCCGGCTTACTCACTGATGACTCGGGAGACGCAAGGCGGAGCCGCTAGGACCGGACTCAGCGCCGCCTCCTCCGCCGCCCGGGGGGGGGCGGGGGGGGGGGGGGGGCGGCCCACGTAGCCCACGTGCGTGCTCTCAGGCACGCACTCGCCAGCATCCTCTGCCCAGACACCTGGAACCGCCCAGCCGATCCCAGAATGCTCTTTTCCTCCAAGTAGCTAAGCCTGGAATTGCTTGGAATCAGACCCAGAAAAGTCTCCAGTTCCTTCCTGGCAGCCTCAGGAGACAAAGCTGCCAGTGTGAACGCAGCTTGGGGAGGGGGCCACTTGGTCCCTCCAAGATGACCGCCAGGGCTCCCCAGCCCTCTTCACAGCTCTTTAGAGCCTGGGGGTATGGGAGGCTTGAGGGGAGGCTGAGATTTCCTCAAGTCCTTCCTCTGCTCAAACACCCCCCACCCCCACCCCCACCCCCACCCCCTACCCCCAGTGGCTCTCCACTGCCTACTGAATAAAGTCCTAACTCCTATACCTGGCATTTGAGGGCCTTTGTGACCCTCACCATTTAGCTTCTTCTCTCATTCAAATTCCCCCTATGCTCGTCTCCTCCCTCTCCCAGCCCCCAACAGCAGGTCCTTCCAGGGGCTACTTAGCCTGGCTCTCTCTGGCTTAAGCTGCACCTTCATGACCCACTTTCAGGCATTTATTTCTTCATGCTCCCTCTCCCCCCAAACCCAACCTTCCAGGCTCCGATGCTCCTCCCTTATGTTTTTTCTGGTGTTCCCTCCTTGGTTGGAGTTAAATCCTATTTGACAGAACTCAGCCACCCCAAAATAGACTAGCCCGCCTGGGAATGTAATCTCTGATCCAGGGTCAATAGCTTCTGATGACTGCACCTCTAAACATAGCCTCCAGGGGTCATAAAGCTTTTACAGGGAAAAGTTAGAAGTGAAATTTCAACCAGATAATGGTTGTCTGTCTGAACAGGTATGGTGTGGAAGGCAAAGGTAAGGCTATTGGTCACTCTACTTTGCCTTCAAGGGCCACCATGACAATAGGAAGGGGTTGATTGAATTTCCTACACCATGAATTCGTACCATTTATTTGGATAAACTTTAATACACATCCATTTACCTCAGGCTTACCCAGGAGGGAATTATTATACCCATTTTATAAACGTGGGTCTTGAGGCTCAGAGAGAGAAGGGATTTGCTCAAGAATGTTTGGCAAGTAAATAGCAGAGCTGGGATTCAGGAGTCTGACTCCAGAGCTCCCCCATCAGTCTCTGAGCTGGATGGGAAGATTCTTTCTTCCCTTCAGCAATTACTCTGCCTGTCTGCTGTCTTTGCACATGTTCTTCCCTTTGCAAGAATGGCCTTTACACTGATCTACCTGGTGAACTCATATTCATTCTTCTAAACCCTGCTGAGCATGCCCTCCCCCTTCCCTGAAGATCTCTACTCTCTGTGATACAAATTCTGCCCCTTTGTGCATTCGTATCCCTGTACTCAACTTGGTGTTGTTGTGCATCTCCCCTCTTGCATCCTTTCCAGTTCTGGGACTCCGTGAGGCTAGCTAGCATCAGGTTCACATGCCTCTGTCCCTGGGGAAGTGAGACCCATAGGCTGAGTGGAGCATCCCACAGTTGGGAAGAGGCATACAAAGTAGGCTAGATGTGCTAGGGAACAGAGATGTGCGCAGGGAGGTAGCAAAACCCAAAAGGCACTCAAGGAAAGGCTAGGAGAGTTGCTGGGAGCCTGGTAGGTCAGTTGGTTACAGCATCCTCCGGATGCGCCCATCCATCCTGGGTCAGGGCACATACAAGAAGCAATCAATAAATGCAAAAATAAGCGGAACAACAACTCTCTCTCTCAAATCAATTTTAAAAAAAGAAATAAAGTATTTTTTGTAAGTTGGCAGGAAGCAGGCAGATTAACTGCTCATTTGTTCATTCATTCCTGCCTTCCTTCACTCCTTCACCCATCTGAGCGACAGGAGTCCACCCGGCTCTCTCTGGCCCCCTCCCCGCGCAGCCCCGCCCTCTGACGTGCCCAAGCCCCGCCCCGGGCTTTGCGCCCCCTCCCCCTCTCCAACACACACACACACTAGTAGCGCCAGCCAATGCCTGGGGTCCTATAAACCGTAGCGGTGGCCTCGCGGAGCTTGAAGACCACGGGTCCTGGGAGCGAGCGGAATCAGACTCGCAGTCGCAGCCTCGGGACCTGAGCCGCCCGCGCACCCGTTGCAGCCAGAGCCTCCGGCGCAACCCTGCGCGGTCATGGATCCCAGCAATAAGGTAAGCCGCGCGCTCGCACGGCCTGCCTGGGTCTTTCCGACCGCCCGGCCGGCCGGCCGCGCTGTGCACCCGGGGCGGGCGGCGCGCGTCTCTGACCTCTTTGGGCGCCGGCCTAGAGCGCAGGGATGGGGGCGCGGAGGTGGCGCGGGCTCGGATCTGGCGGGCTCGGAGGCGCCGCGCGCGTTGTTGGCGCCGGCACTGAGTATCTGGCTTCCGGGGAAGCGGCGTGGGGACTTGAGGCTCTCACGTCTCTCACGATCTCCCGGCGCTCGGACTCCTCCTGTGGCACCCATTGGCTGAGCGGGCCGAGCCCCCGGCCCGGGCCCGGCCCCGGCGGCGTGCGGAGGAGGCGGGACCCTCCTCCTGCTGGCAGCGAACCGCCGCTCCCCTTTCCTGGGGCGCCACATCTCGCGCGGCCTGGGTGCCGAGGCGCAGGGCACGCCGTTAGGGCCGGGACTCCGGCCGGGGTGCCCGGTTCCTTCCAGGCTTAGAGGGCAAGAAGCTGGCCGCCGAGGCCCTCCTTTCCAGTAGCGCAGGCCCCAAAGCTTCATGGGGTCCGAAGTGGCACGTTTCCCTCCGGGGCGGGGCTGGGGAGAGCCCCACGGGGGCCGCCGCCGCGTGTCCCCGGGGAACTGGGGAGCTCGAGGGACCCCAGGCTGAAGTGGAGCCCGAGGAGGGGGACTGAGGAACGGGAGGCTTCCTACTCTGAATAGATGAGAACATTCAAGCGGATAAGAGGGAAAGTTTCCAAGAAAAAAGTGACTTGAATAATATGTCCTGCACACGGGAGGGGCTCCATCAATACACGTTCTGGGTAGGAAGCCGTTTACAGAGAAAAGAAGAGTTGCTTGTCCTGCCCAGAACATGTATTGATGGAGCCCCTCCCGTGTGTGCAGGACACATTTCTCAAGTCACTTTTTTCTTGGAAACTTTCCCTCTTATCCGCTTGAATGTTCCCATCTCCTGGGCAGGGAAGGCGCGAGGATGCGCTTTTTTTTATTTTTTTTTAAACCTGGGTAAGGCTGAACTGTGCACCGCCCCTGCCTGTGGGCTGTAGAGGAGTGCGGCAGGACTAAAAGGGAGGGGGGGGGGGGTCTCGCTGTGCAGAGTGGCGCCTGAGATTTACGCCAGGCTGTACCCTCAGCGGGAAACGGCTCCTTCATACCTGTTGAATCCTGACTGCTTGCTTCACCCCGCCCTGGGGAACGCGTATTCTGACAGTCATAGGTTAGCCATTATGCTGGGATATAACATACTAAAAATCAAATGAGAAGCGCTAGTGGTGAGGGCTTGAGACCACACAGTCCACATACTTGCTGTGTTATTCAGGACCCTGGTAGGCCGCTTAACCTCTCTGGGCCTCCGTTTCTCCGTGTGTAAGACAGATAACTTTTTACTTCCTCAAGAAGGGTAAGAACTGTCTGTTCAGCATGTGACATAGGACCTGGGTGTTTATTTGTTGAGTGGATAAGTGAATAAATATTCTGCGTGGAGATAGAACATTCTTACAGTTTGCTAGACACTTGGCTAGTCAATGCTTTTCGGAAGTCCTGCAGAGGTGGTTTTGAAGTCCAGCTTAGCTCAGTTGCCTGATCTGTATAATAATATTATTTTCATCATTAGAATATCTGTAAGAATTCAGAAAAAAAAAATGTGTGTGCCCTCATAGATGTTCGGTAAATCTTCCTGGCCCCTTTGGGCTCCCGTGATGCATTGCTCTTACCTGGGCCTCAGGTTTCCTGTACCCGAGTTGTGGCCTCTGTCCAGAAGTCTGGCATTCTGGCAGTGTGTACTTTGGGGGAACCCCAGGATGTCTGGGCCGTGAGTACCACTTGATCAAGGAATCGTTAAGGTTCTAGTTCTTCTCCAGTCGGGGTTTGTCAGGAAGTGGGTTTGCAGAGGTAGCCAGCCCATGGGTGAGAGATTAGTCAGCTAATGTGGCTGCCCTGCCTCCCCTGTGAGGGCGAAATGAATCACAATCCAATGAAAAATGACTTTCCCAAGGTCACACACTGAGCCTCCTACCTCAGAACACACTGCCAGCCTTCCTCGGATGACATAAGGGGGTAACGGAAAGTCAGAGCAAGAAGGGACCTTCCAGTACATGGCCCAGCCCTCCTTTTGCCAGATGAGGAAACTGAGGCCAGAGAAAGAAAGAGACGTGACCAAGATAAGGCTTTCACAAAATAGTTGCGATGTTCTATAGTATGAAAAAAAAAAGGTGCTTTCTTCTCCACACCCCTGTCCTCTGTGCCATCCTGCACTCACCCCAAATGAGCAGGAATTCCCAGACTCTGAGGACTTGCCAAGCTTTCTGGGCTCAGTAGGAGTCTCAGCGTTGGATTAGGCGTAACTTGACAACTGAAACCCTTCTGTGAATTGGAACAAAATGTGTCCTCACAAAACTATGACCTTGGGGAAGTGGCTTTCCTCAGACCTTTGGTTTCTTGCCTGTAAAATGGAGGTTCGCTCCCCTGTGGTGGATGTGGTGAGACAGGCCAGGAGCCCTAAATCAGAGCGGTGGCTATTTTAAGTAGAAACGCCCTTTGTACGGCCTGTTTGGGTGTGCAGGCATTGTAAACATCTCCATGATGATCCTTGTCCCCGGCTGAGCCCTTCAGGGACCCGACCCCACTTGCCCCAGAGCTGGGTCAGCCCCAAATCCCCCGTAATCAGCTTGTGACTTCAGGGAGCTCAGCTTTACCCAGTGCCTCCTGGTCACGGGGTGTCGCGGCCTAGAGTTCTGCTCTGGCTCCAAGGGTACAGGCATCCAGCTCCCCTCCCCCAGGCTGGCAGAGG